ATTCATAATTTTGCTAGAATTACAAATTGTATGGTGAAGATGGGCTCATCTCTTTTAAACCACATGACACAAAGGAAAATGAAATTAACAAAATATATATATATATTTTTTTTTTTTGTGAAATGTCTTAGCCAAAGGGAGTCAATTAGTAGACCTTTTGACTTTACCTAATTTCACCTTTCCTTGAATTGTCGGGAAAAACATATTTTTTTACCATTGCTGTGAATATTGGTGGTGTTATTTTTATTATAAATATTATAATTACTATAATGGTATAAACATTAGTAACAGCAAAATAAGATAACGTAAATGGGCGAGACAGGCAGTACTCTTAATTGGCTCATTGGTGACTTTGTACAAGTATAGCCATCTATGTGTAAAACAGAAAAGTATTGGGTAAATGTCATGAGGGCTGTTAACTGACTGGAGGGTGCCTCTCTTGCTAATCCAAGCTGTACACTTCAACAGAAGCATATTCTAGTATATTCTAGGTTCCACCATGAATAATATTTGAAAGTGTAAAATTGGGAGGTGCGAGGGATGTTTGTATAGGCTGTATTTAGGATAATGGCTGTAAAGTATTGAAGAATGTCTGAAGTGGAAGAGAAAGATGATGGGGGAATATCAAGAGTCGAGAGAGAGACAAGGTATGCCAGTCAATTCTGTCAAAGAACGGGGATAAAAAGAGTACTCAAAAGATTTGGAAAGGTTAAAATAGTTGAAGAACAAGAACAGGAGGAAGAAGGAGCAGTGATGAGTGAGGTAGTGCTATGGAGGGAAGGATAATAAGGATCCTGAGTAGTAATAAGAAAGAAGGGTTGTTGAAAATGAAGTTGTAATCAGTGGAGAGCCAGGGTTCAAGGAACTGGAAAAATCAATGTCATTTTGTCAGGATGCCCCTAAAAAAGGTGCAATGTTCATAGTTCTGCAGTGTCAGAGAAGGGTAAGGGTTCTGAGGATTCCTTTCCAGTCAAATAGGAGAATGATTTTGGAAAATGTCCACATAATAAAATTTTTAAAAAATGTACTTAATCCATACCCTCAACAAATGTTAATAGTATACCCCTCATTTCTGAAGGAGAATAAATAAGACACAATTTTTTGCATACATTTATTTTCTTTTTAAAGTTATTACAAATCAATATAATCATCAACACTTTAATACAAACTTTTAATTAAGTAAATTCATCTTTGGTCTGATGAACTGACACAGATCTCTGATCCTCTTTATAATGAAACTGACAACTCCAAAAACTTCCTAGTTTTTGTATCTGTTGAAATCTTAATAAGGGACCAGGAAGCTGAAGAGATTATCAAATAACCATGGAACTATAAACATGACATTAATATATGAACCAAGTCAGTAATCAATTCCATAAACCATAGATATTTTTGTTGTATTAGATAAACATCCAAAAACTGGAAATTTCAAAGTTCATAGAGAACCATTTCTTCTGCTGATGTAATGACAGTCCAAAACAATGAGGGACAGCTACATGAAATGACAATGCGGCCAGGTCACTTTGAGATAAATAAATATATCAGCACATTATAAACATTACTTTTATGTATTACAGAATGTTTTGTCTTAGGATGTGGATTACACAATATATATAGAAAATTTATCTAACAGATTCTAAGCTCTTTATCAAAAGTATTAACCATATTGAATAAGAATTCCTTTATTGAAAAGCAAAAGCTGGGAAGCAAAAATTATCAGTAGAAAGAACTTCAACACAAAGTAAATTGTAATAGTTTCAGTCTGAATCGAATTTCAGTTTCAAGCTGCAAATAGTTGACATTAAAAGTTGTCTCATAAATTGCTTATTTACACTACTTACATTCCATCCCCTCTGAATGCAGGCATCCAACAAGAAAATTAGAACACCCCAGTAAAATTACCAAAACAGGAAACAAAAAAGAAGGCAGTTCCTATACACTGTAATAAGAACCACTTAGATAAAAAGTATAACTGTTTGATTCCACACACCATAAAGACCACTGATATGCAGATGGCCAAGCATAAGTTCACACTGTGTTATAGTGGAAAACATTCTAAACACAGTAGTAGTTGCACCACCAACAGAAAGCTGTACATGAAAAGTTTTGTACATAAATGTTAAAAGTTACTTGTACAGTGCTGATGTATCATCATGGCACTAGAATTTGATTACCTTACTAAATACTTCTTACAGTGCTACAATAAAATATTTTAAAGTCTTCTAAGACCTTTTTGGTGCTTTTATACAAATAAATAAACAAAATAAAAGAAAAGTAAGTATTACCCAATTATTTTCTTTAAAAAGATGTATAATAAGGCAAGTTCTCACAAGGCAAACATTTTCCCTTTCCTTATATGAAATATACCTGAATAACAACTAATCCTTACTAATGGAATGTAGTTACAAATCAGAGCAGGCCACAGGGAGAAGAATGAGAAAGATGCTGCTCATGACCTGGGTCTGCAGATGCCCACTCAGGAGGAAGGAAGTGAGACATC